TACATATATACATATATACATATATACATATATACATATACACATATATACATATATACATATATACATATATACATATACATATACATATACATATACATATACACACATATACACACATACATACATACATACATACATACATACATACATACATACATACATACATATGTATACATATTTAAAATAATACGGTTTAGGCTTCAAGGTTTCGGGTAAACGCACGGTTTTGTAGGCATGCCTTTGCTCCTTTCTTATTGGGCATGCAAGGCTTTCCATTCTGCCTTCAAAGTTTCAGAGGAGCTTGCTCCCCTTAGAGCTCTGGGTGTGTTTGCCTCCGGCTTAGGGTTTAGGGTGTAGGGGCATGGACGAGCCCGCATGACAGGGTAGTTCGGGTGATAAGGTCCGCAAACGACCACTTGTCGGCAGAAAGAGTCAGCAAGAAAGAAAAAGCCAAGGCATCGCGCCAGTTAGCAAAAAGACAAAAGGCTCACGATCTCCATCACTCTTCCAAAATGAGGGTTTATAGAGGTTTTGGGTCAGGGGTTCGGTTGCGCTTCGGCAGGGAAGGAAAACCCAAACCTGGAGTCACAATTCAGGGCGTACCAGAAATCCAAGACCTGAAACCGTCAAGCCACCATAATCGCGATTTTTGAACATGGTATCTTCTCCTTAGTCTTGAAACCTTAATCACCTGAACACCAACCTCACCCATGTTGGGAAGTGTTACAGGGATGAAGGATCCCTGCTTCATGCTTTGGGCTTGGCGTTTTAGAGATTAGGGGTTTAGGGTTTAGGGCTTAGGGTTCAGGGTTTATGGGTTTAGGGTTTAGCGCCAAGGGTTGGTCGCCTCAACCGTGCCCCGGTCCGCGTCCTTGACAATACTTTCAACCACCAGAGGCAGCGTAGCCAGGTGCCTGGGTGGGGCTGTCGGAGTGGAACCCAAGCCCTGACACGTAAGCCACTGAAGGCTTGTAGCTTACTTGTCGGGTATCATGGGGAACTAAAGGTTAACCTTTGGTGTTATATAGGGGTTATGTAGGGATTGTACTACCCCCAAAAGGTTAAAGGTTAGCTACCCTACGATATGCGGGGGCTTTGCACCCAAAGCCCAGAATCCGGGAGGCCCGGAACCCAGCATGCTCGTTTTCTTCTGCATCAGCTCATAAGACTCGTCCGGAATCCAGGCCCAAAGGCTACGACACCGGCACCCGGCGCGGACAAGTGATTTCGGAACTAAAACTCGTCAGACTGAGTCAGCCACTGCCTTCAGTGTATTTGGGGTTTAGCATATATCTGGGTGAAAATTCCGGGCTACGGGCTCAAGGCACGCTTTGATCTCTGCTGGGGGCATAAGTGGTAGAGAATTATGATGAAGAACTTCTCGAAGTTCACGGGAAGAGCAGCATGTCTGCAAACATGTGCCGGGTCATCGAGAAGAAGTGCGACTGGGGACTAAACACTCAGGGCGCACATTGCGAAAAATGTAGGCAGCCACTTCTGAATTGCTGGATTTTGGAGTCTGCTATGGACTCCAGTAAGGAGCACCAGACCCTATAAAACACACCTGCTTCACACAGATCGACAAGGTTTGCGAAACCAAGAAGCTAGAACGTTCTTCCCATGAGCTTGGAGCAAGCATATGAGTAGTTCTCTACATTGGGGTCCCTTTTAGGGTCCGTTTTAAAGGGCGCCGTACTTTTTGGGGGGCCGACCGAACCAGGCACATGTCCTAAGCAGAGACGACATTATGCCAAACCCTGGCAAACCTGTAAAATCCCAGCCGAAAACTGTGCCAAAAAGGAGCGGTCAATGATCAGCGTCAGGAGCCCAAAAGGTATTGAAACCGACTCCAGACCCTATATATAGACAGGCTAGACTCAATATGTAGGGGCCTTAATCATTAGAATAGGGCTTTGGGGCCCA